TGGAGAGGTTCAGAGGCCAGATCTGACAAGGTTGTGTGGGGTATGTCATGGGTCAGGGGAAGAAGAGGGATTGTATTACAAATGCAAATTACGGAAAGGCTTTATGTTAAGGGGTAACACAATCTGATTGGTGCTTTTACATCACTGATTTCTCTGTGGAGAATTAAAGGGCGACAAGAGGAATCCAGCTGAGCACTTAGATAGTTATTGCAGTAGTCCAGGTGAGAGACAATGAGGACTTGTGCTGGGGTGTAGCTCTAGAGATGGACACGAACAGAATAATTGGAGACATCTTTTGGAGGCAGAATCTTTAAGATGTACTGACCAACTGGATGGGAGGGTAAGAAGAATGGCAGAGTGAGAAGAAGCCCATGTTTTCTGGCATAACATCTGGGTGTGTATGTTGGTGTCCATTATGGATATGGGGGAGGATTCAGCTCTTCTAGTCAGATAGAGGGAGGACTGTGGGAACTATGCAAAATGTGATTAGTAACCCTTTACCACCACATACCCACTTAAAGTACTGGTATGAATATAAACGAGTGCTGGCACAGGGATATGTGTTGCATAAGTAGTATAAGCTCCAGCTGGGATCCACATAGAACCTTGAGGGCTTCGGAGTAAACCTAGAGGCAATCACCCAGGAAATGGACACTGAAACATTAAGAAACTCGCCATGCACGTTTTAGATAGATTTTAGGACAGGGAGAAAAGAACACAGAAACATTTTTTTGGAGACAGGGTCTTGATCTGTTGCCCAGGCTAGAGTGCAGTGGTGCAATTATAGCTCACTGCAACCTCAAACTACAGGTCTAAAGCGATCCTCCTGCCTCAGCCTCCCAAGTAGCTGGGACTGCATACATGCACCACCATATTAGCTAATTTTTAAATTTTTTTTTTAGAGACAAGGCGTAGCTATATTGCCCAGGCTGGTCTCCTAGGCGCAAGTGATCCTCCTTGGCTTCCCAAAATGTTGGGATTACAGACATCAGCCACTGCACCCAGCAACAATGCATTTTTGAATTTGATCAACCTGCAATTCAAAGTGTAGGAAATACTTAAACGTTAAACACACAATTTTGATTTATCAGAATTTAGATAACTGATCTTGAAATATTTATATAGGAAGATTAATTTATATACTTTGTCGGTTTCCTTAATGAATTTACCTGTTTTTAGGGGATGCAGAGTGTGATAGCATTTGCTACAGTACTAACCCAAAACCAAGCAATTAAGGGAATAAACCTTAACCGACCTATACTGTATGGAGAACAGGTATGTATTTAAAGTAATGATAGTTAACATAATATGTGAACTAAGGCACCACTGAGGTTTATGTCAAGGTACATGAATACATTGTATTTTTAGAATTATACCTACTATATCTTGTAAACTCCTGTTTACAAATAAAAACCTTCATTTAAAGGAAAATTAGGGCTGAGTGCAGTGGCTCACGCCTGTTATCCCAACACTTTGGGAAGCCAAGGCAGGAAGATCACTTGAGCCCAGGAGTGGACCAGCCTGAGTAACATAGTGAGACCCTACCTCAAAGAAAAATCTTTATGGACTGTATCCCTGTGGAAATAAATATGTTTAAGTTTATGAAATCATATTGTAAGCATAATTCCTCTTTTAAATATGTTGAGTGGTGTCATTGTTACCAAATCCTGAGAATATTATTAAACACCCAGGGCCCCTTTCTCAGGCCCACACCCTTGATCTCAACCTGGTGCTTCTGGCAGCCAGCTATACTCTAGCCTGCTTTGTTCTTCCCCAGGGCAGCCACCACCTTGTCTATCCCAGAGGGTACTATTCCAGTCTTAAATGGTTGTGGAGTAGAATCCTCTTATGCTTCTCCATACTTCACTGTTTCCAAATGTAAGCCTGCAAACCTATTCCATTTAAGGGGTTTTACTGTTCATTACCATGCAGGAACAAGCGATAACAAATAAAAAGCTATGAGATGTTGGATCCCACCTTTGACTTCTCATTGGCATTAGCTGGA